GAGAGGTCGCGGGTGAGAGGCTGAGAGCAGAGGGTTTTTGAGAGAGAAATAAAAATCACGTTTTGGGTCGTCGGGAGGTCGCGGGTGAGAGGCTGAAAGCGGAGCGGGTTTTGAGGGGGAAATAAAAATCATCGTCTTTTCCCCCGTTTTATTTGATCCCCAAATTTAGTTTCCCATCTTAATTTTAATAAAAATATCTATTTTCTTTTTTATTTAATTGAGATATAATTGGCAACCATTTCAAATAGAAAGAAAAGATCATATTTTATAATAACTGTATCAATAAGCCCTAATAGCAACAATTTAATCAATTAACCGTTATTATAAGAGGCTTTTGTAATAGTGGGTCGTCCCAAGAGGAGTAGGGTAGGTGGTAATGTCTAGAGGTAGGTTGTAATTCCTAACACTTGAGGGAGACACGCGCTAGAGACTAACACTTAAGAGGGTGTAAAGTGTGATTGCAAGAGTGTTGATTGTAATATTTTCGGTGAACTAAAAAACCGAGTGTGAAGTGTAAACATTATTCGGGTGAGCGTAAAAAACCCGATTGTGATAGTGGAGATCTCCTCGAGGTGAGGAGCAGAGACGTAGGTCGTGTGGACCGAACTCCGTGAACATATCGTGTGTTTGAGTTTGCATTGGCGCACTTAGTTTTGTTCATCTCATTGTGCCTTTGCCTCTTTGTTTATATTGCCCACTATCTAGTTTCGATTGTTTACCCTTGTGTTAGTTTCATATCCTTGCATATATATCTCATAGTATATTTTCATTGCCAAGATATATCCCTTTATTCATATTACATATTCTTGCTCATAATTGGTTGTATATTATACTTGCAAGAATATATTTATTAATTATTTTTAATTGGCATAAAATCAGATTAGATTAGCACAAGACCCTAATCAACCCCCCCCCTCTAGGGTCTAACAATTGGTATCAGAGCTTGGTGCTCTTTGATTTAAGGTCTAATCACCTTGAGTTAAAGATCCAAGTTATCTTTTGTGCTAATCTTGTTTTAATTTTATTTGTATCTTAATTGCATATATATACATTATGGATATGCACGGTGCACCTAGTTTAGGTTATGCCATTAATGTTGCTCCTCGTTTGGATATTTTACCTATGCTCAATAGTGTGTTAGATTCAAACTTTTTGTTCGATCTAGATATTTTGATTAATGAGAAATTATAGATTGTACTTTTATTGTACCCACTTTGGAGAAATCCAAGTGGAGTAAATGTGATCATAAAATATTTACCATGAACAAGATTTTGTTAGAATTTTTACATAATGCGCTCGATTCATCTTTTTCTAACAAGCTTGATTCTTTTGATAGTGCTTACACACTATGGAAACTTATAGAAGCGCATCAAGAGAATTTGGAGGCAATCTGACAAGCTTTGGAGGATTCCGCTTCTAGTTCATGTGGAGCTTCATTTTCATTCACACGGCCACTAGGCGATAGCCCTAGTGGGGTTTGCGAGTCCAAATCTATTAATGATTTACCAAATGATGAACTTGCTTGTGCATCTAAAAGATTATTGCATGCCTATAACAAATTGCATAAAAAATTTATTAATTTACAAAACAAGCATGATGCATTAAAATCCGATCATGAGAAGTTAGCTTCCAAATTTGATATCATTACTCAAGAAAATGATGCTCTTAAAGAAAACAATGATATGTTAAATTTGAAAAATAATAATTTGAAATTAAATATTGCTAACTTGACTCATGATAAAAGTAATACCATGTTAGAAGTTCAGAACATAAAAAATGTTACTGCATCTTTATAAATGACTATTTATGTTCTACTTCTAATAAAAATGCATAAAGAACATAAAAAATGTTACTGCATCTTTATAAATGACTATTTATGTTCTACTTCTAATAAAAATGCATATGTGCCTAATAATGAAGATTTGACTATTTATGTTCTACTTCTAATAAAAATGCATATGTGCCTAATAATGAAGATTTGAATCTTGTGAATAAGCACATTTCATCTTTAGATTCAACTTTGAGAATATACATTGATAACCAAAAGAAACTTATGGACAAGTGTGCTAAATCTAGTGCTACAAAATCACCTATACACTATGCACACTTGTATAGCAAAGATTACAAATACTCAATTTGCGGTCGTAAATGTCACATTGCTAAATTTTTCTATGATTCACACAAATCTTCTAAGACTAATGCTACTTGTGCATCTCATAAGGTTTTTTCATCACACACACATGTACATGTACACACTCATAAAGTTCATCATAAGCATGCTTATGTGTTTAAATGTGATCATTGTAGTCGTTTTGGTCATTTGGCCAAATATTGTTTTGATTTGAAAAGAAAATCATGTTTGCCAAATGTTTCTAGTAGACCACATGTGTTTAAATGTGATATTTGTGGCCATTTGGCGAAAATCATGTTTGCCAAATGTTTCTAGTAGACCACATGTGTTTAAATGTGATATTTGTGGCCATTTGGCGAAGTTTTGTTATGACTTGAAAAAATGTTCAAACTTGTCAAATTTCTCAAATAGACCACCTTTGTTTAATGATCTTTCTCATTTACAAAATATTTCTAAAAAACAATCTTTATTTGCAAATGGTTCCCGTGTACAAGCTAATGGTCCACAAAAATAAATGGATCTCTTTCATTGCATAAATTGCAATCGAAAGGGTCATTTGAGCGATTATTGCTTTGACCGTGTTAATGCACCACATGTGCCCAAATGGGTTCATAACCCTAGGGTTTTGAGCTTAAATGTTAGGGGTCATGTCCCTAAACTTTTTAGTACCAAGAATACTTGGGTACCAAAATATAGTTGATTTTTAAACCAAGAATTCTTAGTGTTTTTATGTTTCTTTTTCTTAGTTTTGAAAATTACGTTTAAAATTTTTTTTGGATATGAAAACAATTTTTCTTTGATAAATTCTTTTGTTTTCATGATTACTAGTTTTGATTTTTGTTGAGAGGTTTGTGTTTATATAACCCCCCGGGTTTATTAAGTGTTTATTCCCAAATCTTATCTACCAGGTACTAATAATCTTTATATGGGTTGGAACAAGCTTAAGAGTTTGATATTGCATCTCTTGCATTTCTTTTGTCAAAAATTTTGTTTTGATTTGTTCTTTTGAATTCATTATATAGCACAAATAGATGATTCAAATTTCAATTGTGCCTTATAATGCACTCTATATGTGGTTTGATCAAGTTCTACAAAGAAAGCTTTCTTTATTGATCAAACATTATTCTTGGACTTAAATCTTGATTTATGATTTCATTTGAGTGATTTGTTTTCATTTGAAAACTCTTTTTTCATGATTCTCATGTTCCTCTTCTTTTGATTTCATAAATCTATTCTTATATATTTTTTATGTTAGTATAATGAGACACTATCTTCATAATAACATATCTATATGTGTTCTCATTGTCTTCCTGTATGTGAGTTAAATTTAGCATATTTTTTTATTTATGCTTGCTCACATGATTTACCTTAGCATTCATTTCGTATATCCTATGAGGCATTTTGATAGGGGGAGCAATCCCTATATATCTTTTTTTGTTATACTCACTCATGCTTATTGGTATGGAGAGCTTTCGCTCTCTTGATTCTTGTTGTTTTCCCCTTTTTGATGTTGTCAAAGGGGGAGAAATGTTATGAGTATATTCATGATAAGTATAATTTATAAATTCATTTCCTTTCTTACATATATCCTTTTAGTAAATTATTTGTCATCATAAAAAAGGGGGGATTGTTGGCCTTCTTGTTTTGATGATAATTTTCAAACAATTTACATTTAATATTGTTTATCTAGTGTTTGTGTTTTATATTTATTCTAGGCAAACAATATGTTGGAGGATGAATGGAATCGAGCATTCACGATCAAATCCAATGGAGATTGGCGGAATAATGGAGTGAAGCTACGCAATTCAAGTTAAAGATTCAGTTCAAGCTTTATCCGCAAGTGTACCAAGTCGAGCTTATTGAAGACCTATAGCTTGGGTAATTTAGTTTAGGTTTATATTATGTGTGTTGATACTTTAAGCTCAATCACTTACACACATATAAGTTTTGTTGTTTTGGTATTATAGATATGAAATAAGAATTTTATTTATACACATCTCATTTGTTTCATATTCTATTACATTTTCAAAAGTATTGTGTTTTTAGTTTATAGACTTAACATTCACTGTATACATCTTTTATTAAGTCTATAAAATCATTTTGTAAAGTTTCAAAACATGATTCAGCTAACATATCAAAAACATGTGTTTTGTATTTTCATGTTTTGGACTAGTTTTGAAAAATGATAAGATTTTACTATTGGGAAGTCCAATTCTAAAAATTCCTTTTGTAACATATTTATTATCATGTTTATAATCATTTTCCAAAGTTTTATATTTTTCTGAATTTGTTTGATATTTTTAAACAGGGTTTCAAAATATTCAGAAAACTGCTTCAAAACCTGACATGTCATAAATCAGTTTGCGGTCGACCACCACGGTCGACCGCCTTGAGTCCAAAGACTCAGGATGTTTTTCAGAGGCTCCCGGTCGACTGTGACGGTCGATCGGATGCAGTCCAGAGAGTTTCGCTTGAGAGACGGGGTCATCCCAAGAGGAGTGGGGTAGGTGGTAATACCCAGAGATAGGTTGTAATTCCTAACACTTGAGGGAGACAAGGGCAAAAGACTAACACTTGAGAGGGTGTAAAGTGTGATTGCAAGAGTGTTGATTGTAATGTTTTCGGTG